TTACTATGTAACAAACCGAGTTATTGTACTTAAYAAGGGATATACACCGGTTGCTTTGATTGAACGTCAAATTATACAAGCGAATAAGAAATAAATTCTAAAGAAATATCAACTCAAGCTATATTCGTATACACATAATGGTTTCCTATTAGTTTGAGACTATTTAATCACAAGTTTTGGACCCGTTTAACGACCCGCTTTCGCTTTACTTTTGCTCACGAAAACTTTATAGAATATAATTTTCCGCTTCTTTGCATGCTCTATTTGCTTGACTTTGTTTGATTTAGATTCCTAAATGAGATGCCTWTTGCTCAAAAAGTCTTTAAAATGCTATTTTTCTGACGATATAGCTATAATATCTAATATTCTGAGCCCTAAATAATTCGAGATTAGGGTGAGATTAGGGGCAGTTAAACATCGTTGTATTCACTCGAATTTGGAATTCTTTACAAGTTTATCAAAGTTAAGAGCCCTACACGTTATAATCTTAACTCAGAATAGAAATTCGTTGCGTTTAACTACCCATTATCGATGACTAAAAATGGCGAATTTACCAAGGATTAGTATGCAGCATTGTAAAGTTTGTCTGAATTCTCGATGGGGCGCAAAATGTGTGACGTCATCTGTGCGGAGCGCTATAGACCTCTGCAGCTTTTACGTCATGTACCGTATACGCAATGCATTGTAGGATATGTTTGGGACAGAACATGGCGGATTTCTTTTGTTTTCTCTTGAAACTGATCCCACAATGCATTGAAAATCAAGTAGTGACGTAAAAGGTTCAGAAGTCTATCGTAGAGCCTGTTTAAGACGATTTTGGGTGAAATATATACCCTGTTTAAGACAGCAAGGCCAAAAACCATACCCTGGCCAGCGGCATGTCCCCGTACAGCAAATATATGGGAGCCCCCCCCCCCCCCCACCTCGGTGTCAAACAAGACAAAATTGCTCATGTAAAAGGCCACTTTAGGATCTGGAATCGATACCTGAATTAATTTATGCATACTGTTTAGGGTCATTTTTCAATACACTCCATTGAACATGCCTAGTACCAACTTTTATAAGGGAGTCCCCCTACCAGGGGTTTCTTCGCAGTTTCTTGTCCATCATCCATTCGAAATCATTTGCAGCTCATGCCGCATGCGCAGATGCTGATCTTGAAGAATTCTTGATTTTGATTATTTTTTTAGTAAATTCTCGAAACATGCTCGAGTCAGTCAAACCAAAAAGTTTTTAATGGGAGGGTTGGTCAATTTTTGTGTAGGATATTGATCCTTTGTTGTGCACTGCTCAAATATTTTTTTCATCCTGATTTGCAGTTATTTTCTTTTTAATTACATACCTACATTAATATCATACCTACATAAAATACTCAATTCTGATTGGCTGACGAACAGTGCAATTAATTAACACCACACGCTATTAAATAATTACATGAATCTATCCCAAAAGTCTTCGCGAATGATCCACTTGTGATATGTTTTGTGTAGGTATGACACTAAAAGGAAAATACCACCTTTGTTCTCAAAGAATAAAAATACTGTGACACTTCCCTGTTGTTGATATTTTAAAAACATTATGTACAACAACAAATCTGAAAATAGCAACTCCAATCAAGGGGAGGGGAGCGGGTGCCTGTGACCCCCACTTTCAAAGCCAAAAAAATCTAACTGTTGTTGCAGTGTGTGAGGATTTGTTATAGTGACAATTATTAGGTATGTAACAATGAAAATTCTGGGTATGATGATAAATATTTTCTTCAAAAAAGTCTCATTGTTATCACATGAGGAAATGAACGTCTTTTGATAAACTTTAATATTTGAATAATCACAGTTCAGAAATACATAACCACATATTCAATATCAAATACAGGTCTTGTGTTCATTGGAACGGTCAGTGGTGCATAGAAAATCAATCATGGATTGAAAGTTCAGCCAGTTCTTTCATAAGTAGTTCCTCAATGCCCTTTCTTGTCTTTGGCTTTAGATTATTGACTTTTCCTTGAAACCTTCTTTTCTTACCACCCCCCTTTCCATCTAAGACTAATGCGATTCTAAAAAAAAGAGACACATTGATTATTACACCTAACTGAAAAAACATATAGTCACATTCTAAGAGTCTATCAGCAAAGCTATGATCGAAAAGGAAACAAATTCATCACAAGTATTCCTGAATACAATGACCTTCAAATCATGTTTTCTGAAACAATAATATTTGCTATACGGGGAMGTGCCGCTGGCCAGGGTATGGTTTTTGGCCTTGCTGTCCTAAACATGGGGTATACATTTCACCCGAAATTGTTGTAAACAGGCTCTACAATTTAGATGTCTTGGACAGGGTAATATTTTCATAAGAAATACCATTTCACTGTAGCAGGATTAACGTGTTATCAAAAACTTCTTAAAGAAGTTGTCTTTGATGGATGTCAGTATAATTGCAGTTTTGATGGTTGCAGCGTAGATAGCGATTCCTTATTTTTCCGATTTGTCTTGAACAGGGTATGGATTTTTACTTTCTAGTGTCTTAAACAGGGTAAGGGTTTTAGACTGCTGGCTGTACGTACCTATCCAAAACGGGGTCGAGTACCCCCCCGGGCAATAACCGCGGTACAATATGGTTTGATTGCTGGTATTATAGTATTTTTTGCGACAAAAAAAAGAATTCTAAGTGTAATCATACTTAAACCCACAAGAAAATGATCTAAATTTCTCTTGTCAAACAAAGCTGTACTAAAGAGACCCAAAGGTCAATTCCATCATTATTTCCTGTTCCGGAAGAATAATCAGAAAATTTCTAAATTTTATCCAATAGTTGTACATTGTTGTTTGTCATCAATAAAATGCACTTTCACTAGTCTTTCAGGGTGATTAATTTTGCCAGTGTACCTCAATACAAAATTAAAAACAGTTTCGATACTCAATATAAGCCAGAATACAATTAATTGAAGTGATTAAAAAGAATCGCGAAACAATCTATTGAAAAATAACTTACTTTGGTCCAATTTCTGAAACTTGTTTTTCTTTCCCAAGAAAAAGAAACTGTCCTGGTCCTTTGTCAGGTCCTATAGTAATCAACAGTGGAATACCCTGCAATATTAATACCCATAAATCATTGATTTAATCAACAGGAAGACRCATGATCTTGCSTTTTGGCAACATCGCTTAATATTGTTATGTTAGATCACATACAGTAACACCATTCAACACCATTAATCAGGAGACAACCTATTGTCAATCAATTATTGGATGGTTTGAAACACCATATTACAAATGTTTGAGGTCAACATCAATTGTTTATAGCTAGCATGTACTAGAAACGTTGTGCAAAAGGCAAATTTTTGGGTCRTTAATTGTTGACTTTTGATAATCAATGTACTGTTTGGCAATTAAACATTTTGCGCTGTCACTCGATGTAATAATCTCATTAAGAAGTTGACATAACAGAATAATCAGCAAGAATTCTGATAAAGGATTCATGAATATAATAACTAATTTTGTTGTGAATTGCTTCAGTGGCAAAAAGTATATTCAGGAAAGGATTTTTAGATGAAACATTACATTAATTAAATTTCCAGAAACCAAATTATGCCCTCAGTATTATGTTTTTGATTTGGAGGCCTATCATACTCACTAGATCTGCAAGCTCATTGGACAAAGTGTTCATGTAGTCCATATCACCAGTTTCCCTGAAAAATATCAAAATAAACAAATTAACAAAGCAAAACAAAAAATGCTAAGATTTTACTGATTTTGTGTGTGCATGATTTATGGATGAATACAACATTGTGTGTGGCTTGTTCATACTCAACAGCAATCTCTATAAATTCAATTCAGCTTCATCTAGTTTCGTGAGCGTGTGAAATACACTTAGTGTGCTTAATTCACAGGCTATTTTATTCTACTTTGGCTTTTGAAATGAAGTGACGTCCATTCAGAAATTAGCCTAGCTTATGTCACGATAGTCTAAAATTTAAAGTAAATACACTGGGGTGAAGATAAGTACATGTATTTACCTGTGAATGTAAACAAATGACTTTTCACTTGGACTTGATTTAATCTTGAAAGCCTCCAATTGTGCAATCTCTCTTAGTTGACTTCGTAAAGTCTATAAAAATATATAAATCCAATTGTGCAATTTCTCTTAATAGTTGACTTYGTAAAGTCTATAAAAATATATTCTTTGAAATTGAATTCTCACTGATCACATATTGCCTGTTGTGATCACTGCAACTGATGTCCAATCCAGTGATGRGAAGAGAAGTCTGAGTTGGGGGAAAACCCCTTGCRAAAATTTTGGATGACCCAATCACTAAGTAATAAAATTAACTTCATTAACATCTCAAATTGCTATCCAGATAACAAACATCCTACTAATTGGCGAGACTCATCAGACTCACACACTCCTCACAGCTGGTTTTTGACTGAAGTACTTAAACCAGGGCATGGAGAAAAGCCCTCTGAGCATGGAAGAGAACCTTCCTACAAACTCAAACCACTCAACCATCCTTGCTGACTACATATTATCCTAATGTTAGTTTAAGGATGACTTAATACCCTGTTCGCTGACTTCAAGGAGTTCTGCAAGCGCTCAACAGCAGAGGTATGCTCATCAGGACCACAGCTTTTAAAAAGAAAAAAACAAGAAAATATTTTGTAAATTGGTCTTGATCRCTCTAGTTATTGTTGAATAAAATGTTATGACTCTAAAGCTGTATGGGAGCTGTGCAAAAATATGTAGTAGAGTATAACATTGTCAATTACCGTACCTTAAACATTTTGATAAGATGCGCTCATTATCCATTGCACGACTGAGATGTTTAAATACACGATTACCAACAAGGAAGGAGATACAGCAGTTACCACCACGTTTAGTTTCAGTCTCAGGAAAAATCTTAATGACCTACCACAGGATAGAAAGAAATCATAACTATTATGATATGACTTAATGTAGACACTGTGGGAGCAATCTTTCACTGTCTACTAGAAGTAYGTAAAATCAAAAGTCAACTTGTTTGGTAAGTTGAATGATCAAATTGATTTTATACTTGTTTGTTTGGTCAGTGTGAAAAACACATCAAAATTATATAAAGCAGAATTAATGTTGTATTTGCTTTTTTATTCAAACAAAAAACAAAAAAATAAATAAATATAAAGAGTTCTTCAAACTGCACTTTATAGTATTCTTTTAATTTGTTTCAGCAGTATTCATTTGATAATTTTAAAGTTTCTTGTGCTCAAACAATGTTCAAATCTTATAGTTTTGTTGTATTAAATTACCAGGTTGTTCAAAGACTGATTAGTGCTAATCCTGGGTTAACTCTTAGAAAACCTATGGAGTTAACTCTGGATTAACGCTAATCAGGCTTTGAACAACCCAGCCCTGGCAAATATATAAAAACTTAATATAAAGTATGCACAAAATCAGCATCTAAGAAAAAATATTATTCAGACATCAGGATCTTTATGGTTTCCATTAGAAACTGAAATTTTATGTTTATAGCTGAGTAATGATATACATTTACTTGCAGAAACGTTGTCATAGAAAATAGAACATTTGAATTTAGTAAAAAGGAATAAATTAAAACAAGACAAAAGAGAGCGTTCAGCCACATGCAGTGATCTTCTTTTGTCTTGTTTTAATTTACCGTATTCCTTTTTACTAAATACAAATATCCTATTTTCTATTACAACGTTTGTGCATAGTTTGTGCATAGTAGGTGTATATATATAAAGTAAAATTGTACTTAATGACTTGAATGATTCATTGCAATAAGCTGGTTTTGTATGGTCATCAGAGATGGCCACACTCGTCAGGCAAGTTACAATCAATGAACTGTTAAAGTTTGCTGGTAGTTTAAAAACCCTAATTTACATCCRGTAGATTTATATTCATTTGGTTCCATAGTTTGAATCGGATGTAAATTAGTGTTTTTAAACTACCAGCAAACTTTAACGGCCATTCATTGTAACTTGAGTGTGACCATCTCTGACCAGCTTGTAGCAGCTTGTAGCAATAAAGCAATGAATACTTCAAGTCTTTAAGTACAAATTTACTTTATACAATGCTCCTTAGCAAAGTTGAACACTTTTTTTGAAAACATTAATTTTTTGATAAAAAATAAATAAGAATAAATTGAAGAAAAAGGCACATAATTTGCACAACTTTTTTTTGTTTTTTGTTTTTATATATGTAATTATGTACTTAAAATATATACAGCAATATGCAGAAATTCTGACCACTTTGACTCATATTCCAACTTATACATAAAATATATCAGAAATTATGGGATATCATCGCTGATATTTTTTTCAAATACTACTGATCCTTGGCAACTTCAAAAAAATATCAGTGACCATATCCCATAATTTCTGATATATTTTATATATAGTTGAAATATGAGTCAGAGTGGTCAGAATTTCTGCATTTTTCTGTATCCCAGATTATATCTAAGTGCCTGCATTTAAATATATAAGTTCTAAAATGTTACCTGGACATAACTCAGATTAGGCACATGAGTTCCACAGCACATGTTCTTATCAATGCCTGTATTCATATCAAAATTTATAATAAATGCTATTCTACCAGTAGACACTATATACACATATTAAAAGGTAGTGCTTTACAATTTACTCAAAAAAAAAGAAAAAAATGTTCAAATCACAGCGTGCTTCTGTGTGTTTGCTTTTGCTACAATTTTCATAGTCAATCATGTGATAACAATAAATTATAAGAATGTTCAGCATTCAAAGAAGTAGTTTAATAACTTCCTTCTGGATGCAACTCACATTGATTGATTATGATGTGCAGGGGATCAGAAAAATTTCACTGAATAGACCCCAATTAAAGCACTCTGTTGTCTCGCTGAGCTTAAAATAGTCAGTGGTACGATTTAAACCCAGTATTGTATTTTAATAATAAGAATTAATAATCATGGATTTCTGTTTAACAAACAACCTGAGTAGAGATATAATTAATGCTGCAGGTGTAAATTCAACTTTGCCTTGAACCCATCCAGGGGCTTAGAGGCTAAGCACCTTTTGTAAAATGAGGGTGGTCCCAATGACTGCAGACATCTGCATATCACCCAGAACATCTGGGATACCTTAATCTTTTAAATATCAAAAATTGTGCAGGGGGAGGGCAAGATAAGYAACTGGTGTAACAAGGAGCAAACAATTGCATCGCGACTTCAATGTTCAAACGAAATAGTTGGGATTTAGGTTTTTCTGCGACTTGTGGGTGGAGCTTGATAYTAATCAACCAATGATTAAACGAGTTTTCGAAAAGCTCYGCCCCTCAGATTGAAAGAAAGAACAAAATCCAGACAAAAAAAAAAGCTGATTGATCCAGACAAATAAAAAGCWGATTACTTGACTCATTGTTTCTCAAAGAAAATTTCAGCCTCACAGCAAATCTGATTCAAATTTAGGTACTTAAAATCTGTAATGTTAGCTGTAATGATATCAGCTCTTTGCAATTGTGACAATGGTTGCTTCAATAAAATTATATTAATTGAAATTACCAGTACCTTCTATCTCAATAACTCGTATGGGCCCTTTGTGATCATCTGGAAGTCCTCTTGTCTGTGCCTATAGAAAATACATTTAATTAACCCATAATTATTCAGTTCTTCATACAGTCAATCAACTATAAGTCTACACATTYACATTTACAAAGACTAAATAGAACATTACAATTTGCTTTATTGTTGTAGAGTACAAACACTAAAACTGTGCAACATAAAAATACCACTAATATAAATACTGCTAAATTATGCTAATTCTATTGTTTTCTATTGTTTAATTAGCACTATTTTGTAGTAAATAGTGGAAAGTTTTGCATTGCTTTTAGTGTTTGTACTCTACAATTATGATAATTACAATGTATTTCTAAAACATAGATAAATTTATTTTAACAGCATATTAATTCGTGATTGCAATGATTTTCAAGAAAAATAGTTCTTTAGTGATTCCTCCAATAGATTTATCTTGAGGAGATCCTYAGCTTTTCAATACTCTTGTAGTGAATTCACTGCACAACAAACAGCACCTCTTTTTGTAGACTGTCATTCCTGGTTCTTCTCCATATGATAAATATGGGATAATTATATTTTGGGGCAGTAGCATAATTATTTATTGTGAATTTAATTACATTTTGCCATTTTCCTACACAATTCACATACTTGGCATGCTTATATATCCCCATGTGCCAGTCTACCGATATATACAGCTTGGTTCATACCATGTTCTAGATAGGTATGACAAGTAACTAAGATTAAATTAAACAAGGGAAGTGTGAATTTCTTATAAATTTGAACGGATAGCCTTACCCCAAGTTATATCAAAACAAAGTAATTGTTAATGTAGTTATAATAAATATAAACTTATGAGAAAGAGCAAAGCACTTTATTACAGTCTCTCTGTAGGTGGCAGGCCTGTACCTGATCTTGTTCTGCTGATTCTTTGTCTTTGTATATATGCACATTTACTGGAACCTTTTTCCTGATTTGAGCATTAGCTTCTCGTTCAACCCATGAGATTTCCTCATTAGATAAAGATTTACAACTTAACTCAATACGTGACTTTTGCCTTCCTAATTCCCTAANGATTTCTCTATATAATGCTGAAAGCGAATATTGTATAGCTGTTTTCGGCGCATTTTTAAGAGTTTTTTTTAGGATTTCGTTGTTTACCCATTCTACGAACGTGATCAATCAGGGTGGGCAACTGACGAAATTCCTATGAAGCATTTCTTAAACACAATAACATCTCACCAAAAGTTTTATTATTCCAGTTTCAGATTCCGAAAAAATCATTATGTAATCTTTAATATCAAAAAAGTTACACCTAAAAATTGAACGCAAGGTTATTTTAATTTTGTTAACATTAAAAAATATCAATAAGGCATTGGCACCTATTCCCGACCCTCACCCATTCCCGACCCCTTTATAAAAATAATTATTTTCTCTTTAAGGAGAAGAAATATTCAGAAATAAAGGCACAAACGAAGGTCCTTGTTGAACAAACAATCGCTACGATCTCCCTGTTGCATTGTTATGTAAATCTATTGAAGTTAATAAAAAGTCCGTTACCTTCAAAGAATCCCTAATTTGAAAAAAGGTTGTTTTCTCCTTTACATCGCGCGCGAAAATTTGAAGAAATTCTTGAAAGAAATGGCAAAAAAATGCCAAAGACCCCGCTCAGAAAAGGCTCCTCCATTTTGTATCCCGTGGATCTGTTCGATCGTAAAATCATTCGTTAACCGCTGATCAGTGAAGCGTTTCTTCCACAGGGAATCCAGAACCTATTCTCGACCGCCCGAAATCTGCTCACTCAGCTGTTTTTTTTTTTAATTAATGCGCGCGCTAAGGCGCTCGAAATTTTGTGGTACGTTTGTTTTTCGTGTGTTAGTCGTAAAAGCAAAACACTGCTTGTAAAAAAACCCTTTATGTCCTCAAACAATTAACTCCCCGCAAAAAAAAACACAAAAAAAAACAAAAAAAAAATTCATCATCCGTTTGCCATCACGTGACGCAAGGTAAGAATAGCAACATAAAGTCTAGACGTATTAGTGTTATCTAGACCTTTTTGTAGCCAAGACTTGATGTTTGGTCAAATGTCTAAAAGGAAATAGAGTGAAAGTAATTTATTATTTATTTATTATTTACCTATTAATTAATTAATTATTATTAATTAATTAATCATTAACATGAACAGATTGAAATAAAGAATAAAATGAAGAATAAATAATCGTACAAAACAAGTCGCTGGAAATATATTGCATTATGATAATATTTGTCTACTTCATATAAATATTTTATTCATTCGTTCAGTATGTAAGGTGTAATAAGACAACCATTAATAGTGAGAAGTCTTCCAACTTGATGCTTAAATGACCACCAATAACTTATTCACATTGTTTTCCTATATTTGATGAAGCAATTTTCAGGGCTTAATGTCAACATTACTCCCTGTGATAATAATTATTATTAGTAATCTATTTCAATTTGAGTTGGAAAATAGCTAAAATAGAGTATATTTGGCTCGAATGTAGTCAGACTCAAATAACAAAATAATTTGAATAAATTATCGGTGGTCACACTTTTAGACTCTGTGCTGTAAAAATGTAATAAAATACGGAAATAGATAACACCTTAAATATTGCACTTGTAGAAACACATACTCATGTACCTATACTTATAGTTGACATTGGACATGCCTTGTTCAAAGAAAGTAAAGCTCTGGAGGAATGAAGATATGGAAGCTGCAATGTCTGCTGTCGAAGGAGGGATGTCAAGGAGGGCTGCAGCCCAACACTATAACATTCCAAGGACAACTCTCCTGGATCGCCTTTCAGGACGGGTTCAGCATGGTTACAGAAGTGGTCCAGATACATTCCTGACATCTGACCAAGAACAGCAACTGGCTGCATATCTTGTAGACATGTCAAAACAGGGGTATGGGAAGAGCAAGGAGATCATAATTTATATGGCCACTTCAATTGCCAAACGTAATGGGAAGATAATCAAGGGTGGGTCGCTCAGCAAAAAATGGTGGGCAGCGTTCCTGAGAAGGCACCCTTAGATTTCAATGCGATCGACTGAGAATTTTGGTGTTGTAAGGACCCTGGTGACAAGAGGTGCTATAGAACTTTTCTACAGCCGACTACTCGAAGCCCTCACTTCACAAGGAAGTCTTCTCGAGTCGCCAGCGCAAATTTTCAATTGTGATGAAAGCGGGTTCGAATTTGATGCAATCAACAAGATCGTAGCTGCGGCCAGGGGAGCAAAACATGTGCCAAGAGTGTCAAAGGGGCAGCATGAAAAAGTCACAGTACTGGCGTGTGCCTCTGCCTGTGGCGATACCATCCCGCCATTGTTCATATTTAAGAACAAATCAGGCAGAGTGCCCCAGTCTGTGAAGGAAGATGCGCCCCCTGGCACTCTTTTTGCTAGCCAAAAATCCGGTTGGATCGACAAGGATATTTATCTGAAATGGTTCCTCCAGTTGTTCTTGCCGTCAGCCCCAAAAGAGCGCCCGATTATTCTCGTTGTTGATGGGCACAAGTCTCATGTCACCGAAGAGCTCATCAACGCCGCAGTGGCAAATAATGTTATTGTGTTCTGCCTTCCTGCGCATGCATCCCACCTACTCCAACCACTTGACCTGTCCTTATTTGGCCCTTTGAAGAAAGGATGGGTTAAGGCATGTGCAGCTTTCAATCATGTGGCATCAGTGGTTGTATCACAGAGGAACTTTGCAAAGATCTTCAAGATTGCCTGGCAAACAAGTGTCACTCCCGAAATTATCCGCAGTGGCTTTCGAAGATCAGGGATTTATCCTTATGACCCATCTATGTTTAATTACTCAAGACTGGCACCGTCCATTACTGGTTCGTCAGCTCCTACCACTGCAAGTTCTTCAACTCCAATCAACACCATGCCGGTTAACTCTGAATCTGTTCCAGTTCCTCCCAGTCCAATCACCATTACACTGATACATCGCTGTTCTGATACATCTCCTGCAGCATCCTCAGATAACATAGACTCCCATCCAGCTCCTTTCCACACTCAGGTCTTACCAGCAGCTAATGTCATTCAACAACTTCCTGTTAGTCCATCAGCGAGCATCTGTCATCAAACTCCTGCAGCTCCAGTCACTCCTGCCTGTACTTCACCATCAGAAGCCAGTATACAAGTCACAGATTCTCTTCTCAATTTGACCAATCTGGAGAAAATCCTTGGGAAAGAGCAGAGAGACAAATTTAGAAAACGAATTGAAAATGGATATGACCTAGCCAATGATTCTTTGTACAACACCTGGAGAGATTTGTTCTTTGCAGCTGGGGGCTCTGCAGAAAATGAGAGTGGCTGCCCATGTAATGGAGCATGCTGCTGCACATGCAAAGGTCTGGGGTACTGCGACTGCATAGCATCTACTGATATGGTCATGTACTCACCAGATCAATCCCATCAGCAACAGCCTGCACCATTACATCAAATCTCTACACCACAGGGCCAAATCACACTTGATCCTGATCTATGTGACATAATGCTCCTGCCAAAAAAGCAAGTGTCAAAAAAGAGGAAACAACGAAACAAAGATCTGGACCCGGGGAACAAGTGCATTACTGGCACAACCTTTCTAAATGCACTACGGTCAGAAAGAGAAAGAAAAGAGAGAGAAGCAAAAGAGAAAGAAGAGAAGAAGCTAGAAAAACAAAACAAGGCAAAGGAGAAGAGAGAACAGAAAGCCAACAAAGCAGAAGAAAGGAAAGCTCAGAGAGAAAAGAAAGCAGAAGAGAAGAGATTAACACAAGAGAGGAGACAAAAGTCAAAACGAAGGAAGAGAAAGAAGACCATCGTAGATATCTATGAAGAGAAAGAAAATTACAGCTGTGCAAAGTGTGGCAAGCATTATGAGGAAGAAGAGGAAGTTACGTGGGTTGAGTGCGACTACTGCTCAGATTGGTTGCACTTCACCTGCACCAATCTTCCTGTACTAGACAACCTTGGGGACGACATCGTGTACACGTGTGAAAAATGTGTAAAAGAAGGATACCCTTCCCATAATGATTAAACAAGTAACAAGTATTTTAAGCCTGAAATGAAGATATTTTCTTTAGCTGTTTTTAGCTACTTACATTTTTGTATGTGGTTTATTATACTTCTATTCACCAGAAGTAGACCAACATCGTGCATTTTCCTGTTGACTATATCATGTTAAAAACACTCGCCAATCAATACATTTCAAAATAATTGTAATACAAAAAAGCTTTCGACTCTCTTTTTAAACAGCAACTGGAAAATTGTAAAAGCATGCACAACCTTAGAGTAAAATTGCAAGAGCACAAACAAAATAAGATAAGAATAAAAAGAAAAAAAGTGAAAAGAAAATTCAATTTCACTAACTTCTAAAAAAGCAAAACCAGGTTATTTTCAGATATAAGAGTGAAAAAAACGAATCATTTTCTGTTATTCATGTGACAGCAAAAGACTTTAATGTAAGCACATGGTCCAGACAACAGAGTTTGCTTGATGTATGTAAAATTAACTGTTGAAATGCCATTATTACTGAATTAAAACCAGAGCAAAGTGTGAAAATCACTTTAAAAAAAATAAATATGCTATACTCTGAAGCTGAAATTTCGTTTTTACCTTTCAAATAGTGAAAACCAACGTTAGTCACCACTGGAAATCCTCCATGTTCTTGCTGTCGTGATATTTTCCCGATAATTTCCATGCGGTCGAGAATAGGTTCCGAGCGGTTGAGAATAGGTTCCGAGCAGCCGAGAATAGGTTCCGTGCGGCCGAGAATAGGTTCCGAGCGGTCGAGAATAGGTTCGACGAGAGAGAATCGATTTTTAGCGAAATTTTATCAATAAAAGTAAAATAATGCTTGGTGTTATACGCTAAACCATTAATCTATAATTGGGAAGCTTCTTGAATCGAAAAAAATCCGATTTCAACGTTGACGCTCTAAGCAAATCTAATGGTAAGGTGAGGTGGTCGAGAATAGGTGCCAATGCCTTAACTTAAATTGGTTAAAAAAATCCTATAATTTCTAAATAATCACTAAAACACTTTTAACAATCCTATATGATTCAAACATGATTACTGACATGGTTAGTAAACTTAAGCACCTATTGGAAAATACATTGTCAATATTATGAGAGTTTTTTTTACAGCACATTAGACAAAATATTGCATATTTAGAACGCATATGTATTTTTCGATGGTAGGATGTGGATTTCTGGGGTAATCAGTTGCAAATGTTATTAATTCTCAGTGAGATGTAATATTTCATTATAAGTAACATTGATCATCTCATTAAGGCTGATTTAACCATGCAATTTGTCTATTTTGGTAACCTAAAAAGGTAACGGAGGTTACTTTCATTAAACATTATTGGTATATTCATTTTTGTGTTCAAATC